AGACAGATATAATGGCAGGAAAAAGAGATTTAGATAAACACCTAATCAATACAAAATTCCCGTACTTACGTCAACAAAGCTTGCGTTAATATAATCAGATCCATTGCTACCATCAGGCCTAAGCCTTGGCCTATGCATATTCACTAAAGAACAAACAAAATAAAATAAATAATAGGAAAAAGTAATTGAAATACACATAAAATTATCACGACCAATACATATGTATTATTCTGGTATTACATGTATGTACTTACATGGTACAATTTCAGGGTATCTGTTCTTGGGTACATTAACAGTAGTAGTACCATCAGAGTACATCATTTCACTGGGTTTGTATCCAACCTGATCCAATAACTACAAGGGGACAAAATATTATAATACAAATTATCGTGTGACTTAAAAGTCTTATGTAAAATCTTATATTATGCAGCAAATGGTCATGCAATGATATTTATGTGTACAACTAAATTGGGCCAAAAACCCTGTACTATAGTACAGGCATTTTGCCAAAAATGACTAGGAGAAAATTTTTCATTTTTATAATTTTTTCTGATGCATTTACATGTTCTTATGTTGCGTAGAAAGTTTGAGATAATTAAAATCAAAATTAGATTTTTTACGAATTTTTAAAGTTGCTCTGAAATCGGGCCAAAGACCCTGTACTATAGTACAGGGTCTTTGGCCAAATTTCGCCAAAAATGACTAGGAAAGAATTCTCCATTTTTATAATTTTTTCTAATACATATACATGTTTTTATGTTGTGTAGCAAGTTTGAGTTGATTTCGATCAAAATTGGATTTTTTAAATGAATTTTAAAAAATACTTTGCTCCAAATGCCACAATGTACACATACTATAGTGCTGAAGTTTGCTTTGTGGGAAACCCTGCAAGCTTGTGGTTTCTAAATTAGTACTACATACATCCCAAAACAAGGAAAAACATGGTACTTTAATTTGGCGGTGCCATATTTCTATAAAACCCACTAATTTCTGTACACATGCACTTCAATGATTTAATATTGAAAATGTAATCCAAAAATCCCCAGCTGTCTCTGTCAAATTAAATGACTATACAGTATAACCTAATAGTATCCAGCTATACAGTTACTGATTCCCTAATCCCTACATGTATATACCTCATATTGCTCCTGGAATCCAGTTATGTTCTTTCCTGGAATCATCTTGTGCATTTTGTTGACACGAGCTCTCAGGTTGGATCCAATTATCGAAGTATCACCACAAGTGGTCAACTCATCCAAAGCATCATGAAGGAACACATACTGGGCCTATGAATAATAAAATAAAAAAGATTAATTATTATATATAAATATATGCAAGATACATGTACATACATAAAATTTTAAATTCTTTTGTAAGAATTTTTGACAGAAGAGTACACACAGGTAATCAAAAGTCAATTAAATGTTCATAACTTAAAAATTTGAAATTAGCAAGTGGGTTACAATGTTTTCACAAATCGAAAAGGATTTATAAGCATTGACTAGTAAAAACATGAACTATATATACATGTAAATGGCACACGTACATGTATTAGTATAACTAAACAAAAAGTGGTATAGTTTTGTTTTATCGTTAACACACATACAAGTGAAGATGCATGTACATGTAAATGATAAATGTACATGTATTTCTTATATACACTAACCTGTGTTTGAACCATGTACATTCTCTTTGATCTCAACTGCCTCAGTACCTCATACACATTAATGGACTCCTCTTGTTTCAATCTGTCCATCATTATATCCAGCATGATAAAGGTGCCAGTACGACCCACACCAGCACTGCAGTGGACCATGAGTGGCACGCCTTTATCTTTGTTGTGATCTTTTTGTACTCGCTTGATGAAGCTAATGAGCGAAGTGGCAAATTGTGGTACTCCGTGATCGGGC